TTAGAGTGTTTATCTTGTGAAAATCATTTTCATTAAAAGCTATAACTTCCTATAACGATCATATTTTTTTGTTGTTGGCTTGTATGATTTATCTAATCGATTCCATGTGTCGTTTAATCTGTTGAATCTGAAACAGATGTAAAACTGCTAAAGCAGAAGAAAAAACTTAACAAATTACATTATGTACTTGATCGATTAAACTACATCATTGTGAGAAAATTCTATAAATAGACGTGTTGTGCGTTGCTTCAATACGAATTCATGCACTTACACTTTCATAACTGACTTGTTTGTTAAGTATTGATTGCAAGAGCGTCCTAGGCTTCTTGGAGAATCAAGATTACTCATTTGGAAAGAAATTCATCAAGATTCTTGCAAGATAACTGTTCTTACACATTGTTGACCATATTCTGTACTTGAGGTGTATACTTTGAGGATCATTGTCTTCACTACAATCAAGAAGATTATGTTTCCTATTGTTGTGAGCCAGAATGAGAACCGGTGTGTTCTTCATTTAGAGATGGGATTGCTCTAAAGGTTATAGAAAGTTGGAATTGCTTTCTAGGTTGTACTATAGGTGATATTGAATTAGGGAAGGAGAGTGCATTGAGAGCGGAGTTCTCTGTGTTCTTGCTTGTATAACTCTATCATTATAGTGGTTCCCTTCAACTAAGGTTGTTGAAGAAAGACTAGATATAGGCTTGGCCGAACCAATATAAATATTTGTGTTGATCTTTCTATCCCTTCTCTTTTATTGTTTTTCATATACTTGTTATATTGCATTCCAAGAAACCTTAAAGATTTTGAAAACTTTTGAAAAGAACAATTTTTTAAAGGGTTAACCAATTCACCCCCCCCCCCCATCTTGGTTGAGATACAAGGCATCACTTTTTCTACATCATGTATCCTCAATTATCTCAATTCAAAATTCAAGTTAAAATCAATTCAGAAATATACTAAAATTTAATCCTGACTGACTTTGAGTTTATGATAACTCATGAAGTTCGAATTCCTCCAATCCTCAACAAGTGAAATCATACATTAAATTCAATAATCTTAAGATTATGAATGAATCATGTTTTATCCTTAGATATAAGCTTCATTAGGTACTTAGTTTCAACTCTAGGTTCAAAAAACATTTTCCAACACTTCCAGAATCAACAATCATGTTATGGGTGATCAAGTCACGAAAAATATTAAGCATAAAAATCAAATATTAACATTGAAATGGAAAAATGTATATATTAACAGCACAAATTACACAAGTATTCATTTATTAGTTTTCCACGGTGGAGAACCTAGGTCGTACAAATTGAAGATATAAAGAAGAAATTGTAACAAAAGAGAAGAACAACGCCCTATCCCATGGAACCTAACAGTTGCTACAAGCTCCAATTGCACGCCCCATTCGCATCCACATCTATAGTATGGAAATCTCTCCCTTTAACAACCTCCAAGAGCGTCTCTCAGTCACATAAGGTGAAGAAAAAGTGTGGGATTGAAAGAATAAGCCAAACCTTAGCGAAAGATATGATTAAATACTTATTTGAAATGTTAGCAATGCCATTGCCCGACAACATCTCAGTACCATTGGGCACCATCAATTAAAATTCGAAACGGGCAGCCTTTGCCCAACGCTTGAGCACCACTGAATGTTGGTAGCCATCGCCTAACGCCGATGAACCATTGCCTAACGTCCTTGCTTTTAGTAGCTTCTTGCCCAACGAGCTTTTGTGTCTCACAACAAGAGGTGCCTTGCAACCGAGTTCTTTTTTGTGACTTTACAATGTTAGGCATGGTTCTTGTGGCACTATTGATAAGCTTTTTAGTCACCTCAAAGCCAACAAAACCTACTCCCCACTAATGTAGTATAAGGCTGACTAAGGAATCAATTCAAGGACTTGGTACTTATTAAGAATAGAATTGTAGCCTAATTATTTATTTACTAAAAACTAAAACTAGGTGAGGAAAATAAAATGTAAAATGAAATCTAATATGGTAAAAACTAATTAATGATGCATGATTAAAGGACACTAATACCTAAGTAAAACTAATGAATAAAGGGAAAAAAACAATGCATGATATCTATCCTATACTATTGTAACTAATGTAATATGGACTAACAAAACCTAATTAATGCAATTAAAAGAAAACTGTAATGGGTAACTAAACAACCAAATTTAGAAATTCAAAAATAAAATGAACCCTAAATACTAAATGAAATCATGAGTCTAATATGGAAACGTGACTATCAATGCAAAGAAAATGCACATCTACCAACAAAAATGAACAAAATACACCTTAATTGTGTAGAGGTTGATCAGCTAACAAACGTTCAATGTTATCCTTCAAGAATCCTTAAAAATCTTCAAATCTCTTGCGACTTGATTCTTGGAGAACTTGTGCACCTGTAATAACTCTTTCTGAACTCAGTGATATCAGATATGGAATTTCAAATCATCATAAGTTGTTAGTGTAAACAAATACCCGTCAATATATAGATTTCCTTATGTCTAACGCTATTAATTGATTACAAAAATAATGTAATCGGTTACACTTATAACAGAGTTATATCAGAATTACATTAAAACAAATTTAATTGATTAAGTAAATAATGTAATCGATTGCATGTTAACAGTAAGTCAAAACATTTGAAAATATGACTGTTATTACAGTTAGGACTTAGCTTGAAAACAATTTTCAAAGTATACCACACTGATTACGTAAACAGTGTAATCGGTTAAGTTATACACTTAGTCAATTTTGAAAACTTTTTCTTCCCAAAAACACATCACAGCACAATTCAAATAGATGTTTGCAAAGACACGACTTTTAATCGATTTTACAATTAATGTAATTGATTGAAACTTGTGTAGTTTGCCACAGTTTTAAGCATAAGCTATCTGATGAACTTAATTGATTACATAACTACTGTAATTGATTACTTCATATAAATTTGCTCAGTACAAGTGATTTTAACATATGAAAACATGAAAATGCATACAACATATGTATACACGTGTATAACCATGATGATCATGCATACCAATCCTCGTCATTCCTATTTTAAATTACTAATCTTAAACAATTATATTAATGTTTTCTTAATTTCTTTATTATTTTTATACACTTATTTGAATTTTATTCAATTATTCTTTGATACTTTTATTTTATATTCATAATTTTTTCTTAACATTTAATGCTTGAGAGAATATGAATGCAAAAAACTCCTTCTCAATAAATATGGGAATTAGTTTTTATTTCAAAAATAGGATAGTCAAACCAACACACTATCTTTAAGGTTAACACAATTATTCTATTTCTCAAATAAGACCAAGATGTCGGATTCAAACCTTATGAATAGTGGATGAAATAATATACTTCATTAATGGTGATCAATCATATTCCGACAAAGATTAATTATGAAGTCAATATGTACATTAGGCTCATAATATGATTAACGAAATCATACTAGGAATAGGTTTGTATCCAGTATGTATACAACATATCTCTAAGGCTATCCATACTTCAGAGCATATAATAAACCATAAAGGGTAAATGATTAATCTGATCACTCAATATGTAAGACACCATCAACTTCAACCTTAAAAAAATGATGTAATTCTTATTTGAATAAAAATCCCCAGAACTCTGTTCTGATGTTACGTTTCTTGAAACCACTTGGTTACTAAATGTAATATTAAAGATCAATTTGATACTAAATCAATTTTTTCATTTCTTTCAATAACTAAATTAACAGTGTCTTGAACATTCCAGGACCAAATTAATCATTTATAACAGTTTCAAATTCACCTATTTAAAATTACACAAAAAATATATATATATATATAAAATGAAAGGAACTATCATAATCAGAAACTTCAACAAGAAAAAAATAACACTTTCCTTCAAGTAGTTAAAAGGGTTATCATATCAACTAAGGAGATTTAAATCCCTCAAAAAGATAACTAAGTAGATTTAAAATTCCACTCTTATAAAACTGGAGGTAAAAGCCTCACAAAAAAAGGTAGTTTCGCTGTCACAAATATTTTTTTCAATGAATTGAATCACCATATAAACCTTTGGATTCCAGGCTCATGATCCCAATGGAAAGGCCGAAACAGAAACATGGCCATTGAAAAGATATTGACCGCAATATACAGTATGCCTGTGAGAATCCAACTTTGATCATCGCTATTGTCACAGTGAAGCACCAGGAAATAGAATGGTATGGTGTAGTATCTGAACTCTATCAGTGGAGCTGGTACAAGAACAGCTGCAGTGGCCAAGAAGTATGCCAAAACCCATATTTTACTTCTAGCTTTTCCTGTTTGATAAAGGATAGTAGTTATAATCCCACAAGCAGTTCAATAAAACAAGACTTCATAGTATGTCTGTGTACACTAACCCAACATGTGGATGATGGAAAGCCATGAACATATATATAAACTGGGACCAGAGGGTATTTAGTTGATCAATGAGCCATTATAATTTTCCTCCAAAGATAAAAAGGGTAATGCCCGATTATCAGCAAGAAGGTATGGATGAGCTACACTGCATAAGTCGAGACACAAGTGAGCCAGAAAGTTGAAATTACACATATCATGTACCCATTACTTGATGCTCACATCATAATTTCAGGAGCAACAAGATATTAACAGGGACAATGTGCAGCCAGAGCACGTGGATTTGTCTCTAAAGTGCAGCTAGAGCAGATGTGAGTCTAGCTTGTCTTAATAGACCATTTTCCATATTGAATACTTGTATACATTGAATGTTTTCATGGTTGTTTTATTCTTGAACTCAAATATTGAGTTACAAAAATGCATTTAGCTGTTGGGAAGTAATTCATTACTGAATTTTATGTACTTAATTCCCTAAACTGAGGTAGAATCTTAGTACAATGGGACAAGGACTAAGTCAAGCAATCCATCTAGCAAGGTTATGTTAAAAAGGCAGCTAATAGTTGCTGCTTTTGTTGCCTTGGGCAAATATTGGTTTCCGAAAAAGTGAAGTCTTGTGTTTTAAGAGTTTGAAAAAGAATGCATGGGCATTGGATGAGAGAAAATTGGAGCTGCTTTGTAGGACACTGCATACTTGTTTGTTAGTTTGGGGTGAACCAGGCTTGGATGTGTGGGATAATGATTTCATATATAGGCTACAATTATTGTTAGTACACTAGTATAGCACCTGTGCACTTTGTTCTGGTGATCTAGTGTAACCGTGTTACAAATCCAGACATTTTCTGTGATGGTATAGTATGGATCATGGAACTTCATTGCTATTTGAGACAAACAACATTAAGAAGCTAATAATTCCACTTAATAATAAAACAACTCAGTGTAGGTCCTTTCTGACTCAGGAACCTTGTCATGTATATGATAGTGAACAATTTATATGTACTTTCCTTATTCTTCATTTTTTTTATCAGCAGCTTTCCTTGTTCTTCATAGTTAATAATGCAGTTCAATTTTGACTGTAGCAGAAGTGCTGAGGCTGCGTGGCTCTGGCAAACAAGGTTAGGACTATGCCAATAAGATTCACATAATGATTTTGGTTAACACCACCAGACAGGCATAAGGTGAAGAAGTCATTGTTAAACACGTACCATAATATCTTCAAAACAATTCTTTCATTTTTTTATATGCTAAAAAACCATCAGAAGAGAACCAAATACGTATAGATTTTTTACCAAGAGGCATGACAGACATGGTGACAGTTAGTCACAGATTTTGCAGAGTTTCTTTAGTGAATCTTTGAAAACAGAAGATGATTTCCTCATTAATGTCCAAGATGCAATCCTGCAAAACTGCAGGGATTAGATGATATCATTCTGTAAATTCCATTTGTTAAAGTTAGATGTGATCATTTTTAGCGCATTCAAGCTTGTTTTCGATCAATTATCCATGCCGATGTATGAAACATGAAGTTGGATCATCATTTTAAGAAATCCACACTGCTTACATTTTTTGTGGATTTCAGTTATTTGTAAACTATTTGAACATAAATCGTCCAATGCTCGATTAATCTGTCAATATTTAAACTAATGATAGCCATTTTATATAAGTCGAGAGTAAAGATTTGGACTTTGACATCAATGATTAGTGAACAATTCATGCTGTGTCTGCATTATTTAGAGTTTTAATCTTATTTAGGTGAACAATTCATCATATTACATTTAGAGTTTAAATTTTCTTTACACATTTACGCATAAATTGGAATTTTTTTGCCCTTAATTAAGACTGATTTCAATTTTACTATCTTTTAGAGTCATCTAAGTTTTTCAAAGTTTTGAAACAAATTTGGCTTTCTGTCTATTTTTACCAGAAACTTTTAAATTCCTATTTTGTACATTCTTTTTTATAATTTGAATCTATTAAATTACATTTAGTTACAAAAACATTAAGCTCCACATACAATATTTAACATTCTCTTCAAATTATTCCAAGTTCCTAAAAGAAATTTTCTAACCATTTTAAGTTTAGTAAATACGTCACCACCCTCAAAATATTAAGAATAAAAATAATTGAGTTTTAAACAAAAAAGAAAATCCATAAAAAGATCAACTTACTCAATTTTAAAAATAGAAAAAAACGTAATTGGGTGGACAATTAACAGTTCTTTATATAAATAACAAATAAAGACTCTTTACTTTATTACTAATCTTAATCCCTTTAAGGTTATATAACTAATGGCATTTTCTTCCTTTAGTTAAAGATGTTCTAATTTTATTATAATTATCAGAATCGGTCACAACAGTTTGATGTAATTTTCCATGTTTAATTTGTTAATAAATATTTACAATATTTTCCATGTTTAATTTATTAATCAATATATTTACAAATAAAAATGTTATAATAATGATGAATCTCTTGGCATGTTGGGTTGACAGTGTAGACACAACCACCTTAAAAAGGTGGAAATCTGGAAGTAAAAAATTAGTTGTCTCTTTCAAGAGTCCGCAAAACCAAGTACACAAATAAATTCAAATGCCAATGTGGTTATTCATTGTCTAACTCATTTAATCTACCTAAACTTTTCTTACATAAAAACTCAATGTACCTTTGACATGTTTTGTATGATCATTGCAAATTTTCTTTCAAAACGTGGGAAAAGTACAAAATGGTCAAATGAATGGTAACAACAATAAATTTATTAATCTCCCTGGACACTACATGAATCACATGGAGTTATTATGAATTCTAAAGTAGAAGAAATTAAACTGTAAAAATTCATAGGATACCAAAGGCACTCCTTGAAACAAATACCAAACATTCTACTTAGAAACAACCATCCAACATTCATCACTCACAAAACTCCCAAACATTCAGTACAATAGCATCTTCAAGCTGTAAAAGAAATTCAACTTCAAAAGATTATCATGTGAACTAGTAACAATGGCTGATAACAGAACAAGTACCAGCAAATAAACCAAAATCATTGTGCATTTCTAATTCCCAATCTGACAGACATAAACAAAAAAGCACCAGAAGGTCTAAAAATCTTAATCTATTGTTCTTGCATCACTAGTGTCTGGCAGTACTACTTTCAACTCAGACATAAATTTTCTGAGATGAAACTTTCCATGCGGAAAAGAACAAAACAAGAAAATTTAAAGGCTATATCGTAAGATTTTTTTAATTTAGAAATGAATTGAACATGACTAACAAAGCATACCTACCATGCTAACCTGGTATTTGCTGAAAACTAAGACCTATTTGGCTAAATTTTTCTAGAAGAGAAAAATAAGCACGATTTACTAAGCTTCTCTATAATCTAAAATCATCTTATGCACCTTTGAAGAAGTTCAGTGAAAAGAGCCTCAATAAAAGTTTGGTATATAATCTAATTTAAACATAATTCACAAGTTCCATTCACTTTCATTTTTTTTTATAGTCATTTATGCAGAAATTGGTCAAAACAAGAACCAATGCAAAGAGACAAGACGGAAGGAAATGAACAAAAGTGGAATAAATTATAACAAATCATAATAGAATAAATCATCCGTTAGTTGAACATATGCTAAAATAAAACAAAAAAAAAAACTCTGATAAATAACCACTACCGTCATTTTAAAAGTTCTAAAATTTTATCAGAAGCCAGACCTGAAAACCCATGGTTGAAAACAGAAAGAGGAATCGACAATAGGTAAGGATTAAGCCAAAAAACAGTAAAGTTAATACCTTTAGGCCTCTGCAGGTGGAGAAGCTGAAGTGGGGACTGAGAATGGAGGCAATCGCAACACAGCTTCTTCCGTTTCAATTGGGTCGGATCTGAGTATCTGAAACAGAAGAAGAAAGGTTAAGAAGAATGAAGAAATAATGAAAGTGTAGACACAAAGAAATCAAAGAAAGATTACAGGGTCTTGAAGCACGGGCTTGGTGTCGTCCTTTGCTGGCTTGAAAGGGGGTTTGGGTTTGGGTGAATTGTTGTTGCTATTTGGTTTGGTTGAAGATTCTGAATTCTTGTTCATGGTTTCTTGTTGTGTCTCAGACATTACACTGTTAAGATTAGGGCGTTTTGTTTTGTTGCTGATGTAATCTTTTTCTCAAAACAAAAATTCCCAGGCTTTCAAACTATTTTTAAGTTTATGATTTTTCCTAATATTTCTTCAAAATGAAACTTTTACTGCTTCTTTGTTTCAAGAGTCCAAGAAAAGTGAAAGAGAAAGAGAAAGGGCGAAAACAAAAACCGAAACACAAAAATTGAAAAGAAAAAAAGTTTTAACTTTTCATTTAAAATCGCAAAGAAATGCTAGAAAGTTTAGATTGTAGATGGAAAGATATTCTCCGTCACCCGACCCGTTTCGACTTGCATATATTTCAACATTATATTATTTCGGTCTTAGTACAACAACAATAATTAGTGATTAATTAAGATAATAATTAAAGTATAATAGTAGAATATTAAAAACTCCAATAAATCAAGATTCTATGTAACATTATAAAACCATATCAAAGAGTAGTTACATGATATATGATGGATCAATTGACAATAACAAAAAGTTTAACTTATAGTTATCCGAAACAATTATAAATTTGAATTTTATATACAGACCGAATAAACCAAAACTATGTACAAATACTAATCTAAGGCTAACTAAACCGCAGTGTCTTTGTCACCAAAAACCTGCTCCACTGACATCTTATCTCCTTCTACTCACAACTATAGGATGATCATTGCAAAATCAAATAACATAGCCACACACAAAGATAAGTACAAAAAGAATGGTAAGTTAGATATAAAAGATTCATACATTAGTATAACACAACCATACTCAATTCATGCATATGAAATAACCAACTTCAAATATCTTAAACATATTATGACTTAGACTTGGCTGTCCGGACTTAGAATGAATACCGAACTATGACGGGTTGTTCACTTGTAGTGACTTCTATTACTTTACAAAGTCATTGTCAATGGGTTTCACCCTACCACACACAAAAGGTTAGTCCGTTATCGTGCAATAGGCCTCTAGGTAGTGCCTACACTAGGACCTCCTACTACTCTCACCACATGTATCAATCTTCTATATGCAAGAATGAAATATT